GGGTAAGTTTTCTTGATCCAATAAGTGCGTTTGCAGTATTTATTAAATTGTTGGCTCTTCTCTGAATTTGCTCTGTTGGGTCTCGTCCGAGGCGACGGAATTTAGATTCATCTGAAACAATCTCATTTATTTTTGAATTGTACTCGGTTTTGTCTAAAATAACAAAGATGTTGCTTTTATCAGCTTTTCTTATGACAATTTGGTCGTTATCTCGGAGTTGCTTAGCTGCTTGGCGTAGAGCTGGGGTTAGGATTTTTGAGGTCGAAGAGCCTCGCTGTTTGGTGGCTTCGGCTCTTAATAAGTCTTTGAGGTCAGGATTGATATTTATTTTACCATCGTTCTTTAGTTTCAACAAAGAGTCATAAAGTAACTCGAGTTCAATTTGCTTCTTGGTTTTGCTAAACTTAGATATTACGTGACAGTTTAGCCCCAGGTTCAGAAGTTCTTTCTGATCCTTGCTCAGGGTGTGGGAGGAGAGGTTGATATATCCATCAGTAGAATGCGGAAGACTTATATCTCCTCGGTACAGGCGATTTAGTTTACGAAGAGTCCTGAGTTTCACGCTGTTGTCGTAGGTATCCAGAAGCCTGCTTAGTTCATCGGTAATCTGGAGATAAAGTTGAGAGCTTGGGATGTATTCGGTTAGACGAAGATAGTTCTCGGTGTTTTCAAGCTTCAATTGTTCAAGTTCATGGCGAGCAATTTTAATTTGCCTCTCAATCAGTTGGAATCTGTATCTCACAGTTATGTTCTCGTAATTCAAGCTTTGATTCCAATCTGTATCCATAATACCCTATGTTTGTACTATTGTCATTTCAAAATTTCAAATTCACTTGTTGCAAAACTCGTCCTCTACTTGATAATGAATGAAGTTGTATTCGAAACGTCGTAAATTATAATAAAATGTCCCTTGGAAACCTGATACTTGGATTTTCACTTCCTATCAAGAGCCTAATTCGCCGAATCGAGAAAAATAATAAGAAAATTGTCAATAAGAAATACTCTCTGGTCTTCAATGAAACCTGCATTAAAGAACAGCTTCTGCCAAACTACACAAATAGCGGCCTAAGTACACGTAGCGACCTAAGTTCACGCAGCGGCCTATATATATAAGTACATAAGCGTGATTAGCTGACGTAGCTACCAACACGTAATTATTTTTATAGTACGGCTATCAAAATTGATGAAATGGGCATCAACGAAGTTAGAGGTTATTAGATTTTTGTTCATACGCGGTGATATGAAACTGCAAAGCGCAGTCCAGAACAGTATTACCAGTAGGGCATGTTGACCCAGAGGTAGCAGTTCAGTGTACCAAGATTGGAGCATTGTGTTCCGGGTTTGATCCCAGCTACCTGCGACAGTTCTGGTCAAATAGGCGAGGAGGCCGGCTAATTAAGAACAGCAATATTGTAGCCACGAGTTGCGTGTTTGATACTACCAAAAAGCTGTGAAATTTTTGTTCAGAATCGGCGACAAGTCTAATGGCCTACTCTGCAACTCTGACACTGCTATTATTATCATATCATTATTATAGATAACATAATACAGTATTATACTATTTTCGATAGTATGGCCCGTAATCAAACTTACGTTACACAGGGCGACGCCAGTGCGCCGGGGAGGTGCTGGCTCGCACGGAACTTTTCCTTTTCACGGCCGCCATAGCGCAGAACTTCGACGTCCTGCCACCCCCCACCACCGACCTGCGCCGCGTCAAAATGACCAGCCTTGGGGGTCTGCGCGCCCCTGAAGACCAAGAGCTTATATACCGGCCGAGACCTTAGACTTAGAAAAAAATGTGAGAGTTTCCCCAAATAGCGAGGGCTCTGTACCGGCACAAGAGCGTATCAGTGCTACGTGTACTTTCTGCTCGTACTGTTTGTAAAAATTTGAACAGATTATAAAATTTGCAGCTTTAGTTGAGTTATCCCGGTATATAAAATTCCTAGCTGTAGGTAAGTTATCCCGGTAAATAAAATTCGTAGCCTTAGTTGAGTTATCCCGATATATTAAATTCTTAGATGTAGGTGAGTTATCCCCGTACGGTATACAAAATTCCTAGCCTTAGTTGAGTTATCCCGGTATATTAAATTCCTAGCTGTAGGTGAGTTATCCCGATATATAAAATTGCTAGCTTTAGTTGAGTTATCCCGGTATATAAAATTCCTAGCTTTACTTAATTTATCCCGGTATATAAAATTGATAGCTATATGTTGAGTTATTCCGGTATATAAAATTTATTGTTTCAATTGAGTTATCCCTGTGAAACAGATGTGTCTGATGCAACGCTGCAGTTCATTTGTTGTAAGGGCGCTAATACCTTCGTCGGTGGTGCGCCGTATCTTAACCAAGTATTTGTTGTAATCATAATGCTGTTGAGTAAATCATAAATTTCAGGCTTAAATAAAGAGTTATGAAAGAATGTAAACTTTTATTTCCAAACTTTATCCCGGACATCGATAAAATCAGTGCTCAAGCTTGAGAATAAGTATTTCTCAGCAGACGTCTATGAGATTATGAAGTCAAAACGTACTGATGGTGTAGCAGAGGTTGTGGCATCACTGCTAGTATGTTGGTTACACGGGCTAAATATACCTGCAATAGACTTATGACATCTTCGGTGTACAAATCTGGTGGGGTCAAAGTAATGTGACAAGATTAGGGTGGCCCAGTGCATGGTTACAGTTCAGAGTACCATGATTGGAGCAGTGAATTGTGGGTTCGATCCCAGCTACCTGCTACAGTTCTGGTCAAATCGGCGAGGAGGCGCTGCGAAATAGGACAGCAAAATTATAGTAGTGAGTTACGAATTCTAGACCGCAACAAGCTGAAATGTTATGTCGTTTTAAGCAGGTTTAAAGACCAAATATACTATACCGTTATGCATAACCGTACAAGCCTAATGATACATACAGCGTATAACTGTGGTAGGTAAAGCATAGGGTTAGGGTCGTCCAAAGGGTTAGTTTAAGGTTAGGACTAACATAAAGGGGATAGGTTTAGTCAGGAAAATGTGTTTTTTTTTTTCTAAAATAGCGTATAAAAATACCAACTAATCATGGTCGCGGTATTACCAAATTATAATTATGAATACGTATATACATATTAAATATATATAATATTTATTAAATATTAAAACGTATAACCCACCTTGAAATGATTGCCAATAAGCTGCAATTAAACAATATTAAAGGGAAAAAGGTTAAGTTATAGGAGAGATAATACTCTGATAACCTTGATGAATTGAGACAAAGAATATTACACCCGATAAATAATATTTATCCAGATAAATGTCCCCAAGAAATGTCCCCCCAAAGATAAATGTCCCCAAGAACAAAGGATGACACTAAATTCCATGAAAACCAGAACACGGTTATTGTAGAAGAGAAAGAAGAGCTGGAAAAGAGTTTGCATAATCAACACAATCCATGAATTGCCGGCAAGCGGGATGGAATAACAGTTAATGAAATGGTCGTTGACATGATAGTGTTTGGTGTGCCCGCTGACTACATCCCTAAGCTAATTAGCTGTATGGCCACAGACAGGGAAAGAGTTGAACGAAACAATAATATTGAGCTTGGTTTATATGTATATATAGACATACAGGCAGCAATGTTTGCCCGATGCTGTTTTTCGTTGACACTTGGATAAGAATTAATTGAATATAATGTCTCAAGGATTTTCGGTTCGAATTATTGTCCATATTGTATAATAAGGAGGAATGAAAGAGTGGAACTCATAGGTAGTAATTATTTGAAGTTAGGCGCGGTGAGGTATTAATACAGGAATCGATCAGGTAGCTATAGCAACACGATCGCAAGCGATACGATTGCCGGAGTCTTGTTAAGTAGATGCGAATAGAGGCTGGGCTGCAACTGCAGCTAAGAGGTTTTGGTCTGCGACTGACTGGTGGTAAGCTTGAAGAGCTTATACAGAAACTTACTACAATGACGTCACGAAGGTGACCTGAGGGATATTACTGAAAGCATGGGTGGTGACGAATGAAATAAGTGGCCTGAAATGCTTGCTTTAATTTAATCATCAAGGTCTCGCTCTTGGCTTTGATGCAACAACTCAGGAGAGCATCCACATCAACAGTGTGCATCTTACAAGTTAAGATACCACATTGGTCATTTCAGTTGACCAACTTCACCGGGCACAGCTCAAGACCATGTCAGTCACATTGTCAACTCGGTGAACAATTTAACAGTCATCTACATTGTGTCTGCACCTATGAAGGGACAAGGAAGAGGATTGATGGAAACATCTTCAATGCAATGTCGGATTGAGATGTTGTCAACTATAAGACCACTTCTTTAATTGAAAATTTTTTTTGGGGGGGGGGGCAAAGTTTAATGAATCACCAGCGACTTGAATTCTTGGGACTCAGTTGCCAGCGCCTGTAGGAAAGAAAATTCTTAAAAAGAAAAACGTTTCGGAGACCAGCTCCACCATCAGTTCAAAACCTAAAACACAGGTACAAACCATTAGAAATAAAATCACATTGAAGCATAATTCGTCAGATAAAAACAAATAAGAATGAAGTAAATATGAGCAGACAAACTTAGAACATTTTTCTTTAGACATTTCTAACTAGAACATTTTTTCTTTTAGAGCCTAGATTAAGAATAAATCAAGAGAAGCTTTCAAGGAAGAATTAGTTTCATCTGTTCCTGTACAACAATATGAATAAATTGTTTTGGCAGATCAATCCAAATCTGGTCAGTTGACAGTACTTAGTAGTCTCCTTGCCTAAAATTTATCTATATAATATGTATTTACAGGTTTGGTTGAAGACCAGAGCGTACTTTTTATTTACGATTTTCTTATTGTTCTTTTCGATAAGCCGAACAAAATTTCTAGCTGGAGCTTGGAGATCAAAAAGTAGATTACCGAATGACATTTTATTGCAGTGCGACGTTTCGAATATATC